CCTATGAGAAACAACTGCAATTCTCATAAAAAACTGGCTATGATCTACCCAACCACAACCCAAACCTGGAAACAAAAGGTTCCAACGAAAACCTCCTACTGTTTACACCTCCCTTTCAACAAGCGAAAAAACATTAAGTCCAAGCGTTCAGTCCTCGTACCAGAACTCAATTGATCTCGTACCCCCCTATACTAGGGTTACAGAGCAACACAAACTTCCGCAGTACAAACCATCCTGGTTCAGACGGCAAAAAGTGCCTTCCTCCCTCGACACTCTCGATTAGCCACACGTTCCCAAGTTACAGGGAAACCCCCCCGGCATCAGCTACGTCAGACAAACTGGTTATGCCTTCCTCCCTCAATATAACTCCACAGACCTCTTGCTCCCCCTGGTTACAGAGCAAAAGCTCCAGCACCGGTTTGCGTCGTCCCAACTTTGTCCTTTTGACCTACTTACTTAGACAGACGTCCCTTCCCATGTTGAACCCCCCTTGCGTCCTCCCATCTTTCAGTTCTCACCTTCTCCTTCCCCCCTGACATTCTATCCACAATCTCCTTGATCATAGGCAGAAACCCATCAGAAAAATTCATAAGAACTTATACTAGGAACATACGATAAAAGTCTGATTGACCTCAAAACAAGAAGAGAGGAAAACAAAATCCACCAACAATCCAGCTCTCTCCTAGCACTACAGAGGAAAGACCGTAGCCCAGATGTTCACTCCTCCCACCAGAACGCGCTAGGTCTCATACCCCCCTTGCTAGGATGACAGGGCAACACCAACTATCCCAGTACCGACCGAGCTGATTCTGACGGTCAGGAAGTGTCTTCCTCCCTCGACAATTTCCTTAGCTAAAAGGCCCCCAAGGTTACAGGGTCACTGCCCCGGCTTCAACTGCGTTGAACAGGATGGTTATGCCTTCCACCCTCGGCATAACTCCAATAGTCTCAAGCTCCACCCCTGGTTACAGAGCACCTACGCTCCAGCACCGACCATTGTCACCCCACCCTGCCCTTCTAATTAGACCTACCCCCTGAACACTAATCCCTCCTCTGCTCGCGTACCCACCATACTTGCCCAACAACCTTCCCCTTCCTACTATCCAGCGTTACCTAAAATTATACTAGCAAGAATTTTCAAAAAATTAAGAAAACCAAGCACAAAAAATCCTGAAGAATCACATGAACATTTCAACGCCCACTATTCCCATAGGGAGCGGGGAAGAGAGGGAGAAAAACAACCCTCTTTCCCCATGGAAAATTTAGCGCCTATTGAAATCTCGAATACATATACAAAGGGGTCACAAGAGCCAAAGAGATTACTCCCCTCCTCCAAAAAACGAACCCCTGTTTGTTTACTGCCTCCGCGGGAAGGCACCTCCTCACCTCCCCGCCCCGGTTCAAAACAGCCCCCATGATACCCCTCCTGCTCCCTCAGTCGCATACAATACCCCCTAGAGTATGCCCCCGCAGAGCAAAAGATCCCCCTATCTTCCTGCCCCACCCCCTCCAAGTGGAACAACCCTCTTAACTCTCACCCTACTGACGTCAGCACCCCTTGTCCTCTCTCCCCAACCGCCATAGCTGATCCGACCCGAAAATCGGCGTGGCCCAAAGAAGGACAAACCCTCAATACTGTCCCTACCCTCTCAAAGGTCACACCACCCACCTTGTGTAACCCTCGCAGGGAGGGACTCCAACGCTAAAGGAAATATCCACTTCGGCACCTTTGACCCCGATCTCACAACATCACAGTCGAAACTCCCTTGCTAGACTAACTACTTGAGTAAAAACTAATTAGCATCGAATTCAGAAAATCCATCGAGATAAAGGTAAAATGGGAGTAAGAGAAATCGCTCAGGCAGTAAATCCGGAATCAAAAGAAGTTTGAATCATGAATTAAGCATCAAATCCAAGAAATTCAGGAAATCAAATATTGAAAATACGATTTGATAAGATTTGATAATCCAAATAGGGAAATGAATAGGGAATGAATTGTGATGTCCGAACGGATGAACGACTCTGATTTCCAGAACCCAAGATTCAAGAAATCGCTCTGACAGTAAATCAAGAATACTAAGTAAAAAACAAATTAACAATCCATTGAGTCAGTACTAAGTAGAAAAACAAATTAACAATCCATTGAGTCAGAAAATACTAAGCAAAAAAACGAATCGACAATCAATTGTGTATGAGAGAATTTCCAGAACCCAAGGTTCAAGAAGTCGCTCAGACAGTAAATCAGAAATACTAAGTAGAAAAACAAATTGACAATCAATTGAGTAAAAAAATACTAACTTAAAGCAAAAACGAATCGATAATCAATTGTGTACGAGAGAAGCCATAACGCTTCTAAAAACAGATCACGAAATCAACAAGAGAAATTACGAACTACCAATTGAGATCAACGAAAAAATCAGAATTACCCTCCAAGAAATTACCTTCTAAGAAGTTCCCGCAGCAAGAAAACAACAACAACAAAATTAGGTCATGCCTCAAGAATTACTGGAGATCCCGTCACTGCGTGAAGTCGCCTTGAAACGCCTGAAGTCTCAGTTCGTGCGATCCATCACGTAGCCCGCCACTGTTGAGTCCAAACTCAGCCCCTGCCTTCCTCCGGTCGTGGGCAAAGAACAACAAACTGGCATCCGTCCACTCAGAAAGAGGGCTGGTCCTGTCGCCCTGGCTCCAAGAGAACGAAAGCAGAGCCAGAAGCTCAGATGTCGAGCCACAATAGGAACGTCTTAGTGCCTGGATAGGTGGTACGGGTAGGTGGTGAGAGGACCAGGGCACTCGGTCCCACATAGGGCCACTGTGGGTGCTAGGGGAGTGTCAGTAGAAATTGGCCGTTGTCCTCTGAACCGAGCTAGTTCCAGAAGTAGGAGTGGTTAATTATCTTATCCCTGTAATTACTGTTCAAACCCTGTAATTACTGTTCAAATTGGATTGATTCGTTCTACAAGTACAGAAGGTATGTACTACTCTACTCAGTTCCGCGAGCATTTAGCCGACTTGTTTAGGCAGGATATGCATGAGTTGTAGGAGGGAAAGTGGGTAGCAAGGACTTTCTGCAGGCGCGTGCCTGTAAGCTAAGCTGGCTGATGCTGTCAGTACTCCGGTTTGAATTGTGAGGTCCCCGGCCTCGTTCTCTCATCTGTTTATACTGAATTATTGTATTGTTTAAAAAAAACAAACAAACGCGAAGCCCAAGCTCAGCTACCTCGCAGCCGAACGAGGCACTTCCGCGCGGCAACGCACACGTTCCCAGAACTACCCAACTAGGGCCTCGTTCCACTACCCTCGACTTGAAAATATCTCAAGGGCGGCGCCGTTCCACTAGGCCCTTGAGATCTGCTAATCACAATGGAAAGTGATTAAGCTTCCCGCCTGAAGAAAATCCCGCTCTGAGACTCGAGRGCGGCCGTAGGGCGCCGAGSCAACTTGGGCCAATTTTCAAGTCACCTCCCAGAGGTGACTTGAAAATTCTTGGAAAAGGCGGCAACGCGCGCCGAAAGGCAGTTCAGCCCCCTCGTCCGGTCCTTTTTTTTTTTTTTTTTTTTTGCAAACCGCGGTAGTCCTGGTCCAGCGACGGGCCTGGTGGTGAAAATATTGTAACGAACCGGGCCGCACTTTTTCCCGCCCCTTGTGCGAGCGGGAACTGCAGGGTGCAGTGGAACGAAGACGCACTCTAGTATTTTTTAATTACGTTTTCTCTCAAGGGCGCCTGTAGGGCTGCCCTTGAGATATTTTTCAAGTCGAGGGTAGTGGAACGAGGCCCCTAGGCAGGATTTCCGGCGTTTACTGAGCTCCATAACCAGTCCTCGTTGCCGTGGGCATCCCTTTCTTTTCTTTTACTGGGGTCAGCTCGAACGAAAGTCGGGGCCGGAAGTCGCCCACACAACACATTTCGCGTACTCGGGCCGGCCCGGGCCAGAGCCAGGCCGGGCCTGGCCCGCCCCAGTAGGAGCGCCCTGCTTTTGCCTGCCATCGCGAGAGTCCATGTGCGAGCGGGTTGCCTCGGATGTGACGGAAAGCGAAGTTTCCAGTCGTTTCTAATGAAGCGGGCGGAATCGCGCGCGCATGTGCACATGTGCATTTTCTTTTGCGTGCGTGCAGGTACTCCTTGCGCGAAATCTAGGGCCACGTCATCTTCATCGCCGAAAAGTGAGTGGCTGAGGTTTTCTGGATCGGTGCCGAAGACGGTTCCAGAAAGTCGGGGCAGGAGGGATACACGCCTGGCAGCGGGAAGGAGATTCTCGTGCGGTTTGGAGATTCGTTTGGGCAGCGTCGCAATTTCGCGCTTATGGCGGGAGCGCGAGTCGGGTCTGTTTCCATGATTCTGCATCTACGATCTCGGCCACGGTGGGGCGCTTGCCGTTCCACCCGCCCACAACCGCTGTGCCTGAAGAAAACTCCGGGCGTCTCCAGTGCTCGCCACTGCCCATGTTGTAGCGGAAGATTCGTTGTCATTTTGCACATTTGGGGACCTACCGGTGGGCCCACACTCCCGCTACCGGTAGCTACCGGTAGGTGGGAGTCTTTTCTGAACAGCTCCGGACGTGGATTACGGTCACGCGCATCGAGCTCTGGCCGTAATTACAGTCAGATGCATTTAGGAAAGTGCTACCGGTAGGGAGGGCCAGGCCTCATCAGTCAGTGGTCTGGTACTCAGTAGGCACCATGGTCGTGGTCGTCCCTCCCAGCCAGGAGAAACGGAGGACAGCGCTTAGGAGAGTTTTTGGCCGTTGATCTTTGGTATCTACGGTCAGTATCTCTTAATTCGTGCAAGTGGGACCTAGCCCCAAGGTTGCGTTTTTTTTTTTTTTTTTTTTTTTGGAGGGAGGGGGGGAAAGGTTTTGCGTTTTCACCAGCGCTTGACTAGAGCAGAGCAGAGGAGATTGGACCAGACCAGACCAGAACGCTCTCAAGCAGCCCGCGGCAACACTCGGCTTTTTGCTATCGTCTCACAGCTCCCGTCGCCGCCAGGCATACGTTTACAGCTACGCTGTGCTTCCTTCTTCGCGACTTGTTGATTGTTGATGTCCGCCTGGCCGTCTGGTGTTCCTCCGGCGGGGGCCCGACTTCCGGCAGCTACCGGTAGCCAGCCAGCCAGCCAGCCAGCCAGCCTTTTAGCACGACCGATGTTGGCGAGGGAGTACCGCGGTCCAGCGCGCGAGTTGCGGGAGGGCTGGCTATCTACGTAGTGTTCGATCCTGCGCGCGTTTGCTGTCTTGCTTGCGTGTCCGATTTCTGAAGTTCGCCCCGCCCACGATCCGGGTGGTTCTTGTCCGTGGCTTTTGCTGTCTCCCCCCGCTGCTCGCGCCCCTTCGTCTGGCCGGGCTACCAACGTTGTCATCACGTGTTGTTGGTTTTGTTAAAATAGATCGGTTTGCTGTTTGGCGGCTTTGAGGGAAGGAGAGCGGAGCGGTGGGAGCAATTAGCGAAGTGGCGGGCAGCAGTCGTGTTGCTCTGTGTTGCAATACGCCGATGAGCGCTTTGGCGGCTGTACGCAGCACGTGCTCGGGCGTCAGGCGGGTGTCGATTGCATGCAGTAGAAGAGATCTGAGAGCAGGGGCCATGGCAAACGCTCAGTCTTTCGCTGCGATTGCCGCACTGCGGCTGCAGTCGCTGACATCGGCCACGCCGTCGTCGCTGTCGTCGACGGAGACCCTCGACAGAGTACCGAAGGTATGCTATGTATGGGCCTCGCCGCACTACTGACCAAACAAATTCACAAAAGACAAGAATGATGGCGGCGCATCTTTCCACGTTCTAGCGGAAGATTCATTCTCATTTTGCACATTTGGGGAGTATTTCGTTAGGCCCTATGAAATGATATGAGCACGAACGGTGGCAAGGGCGGCCGCGGACCAGAGTTTCAGCAAGGTGTTGCTTTAGCCGTCGGCCACGTAAAAGAGATGGATAAAAGGGGGTGAAACAAATTGATAGCTTGATTTGAAGTTGTTTCTCTCTCTCTCTCGCTCTCTCACGCAGAAGCCCTGCTCTCCTTACATCCCGATTAAATGTTATATTATATGTGCTTGCAAGTGTCTGGGCTGTGGGCGCGCGGAGCAGTGCGATAATCATTGTATGAATAATCTTCGTTAAGGGTGTTGAGGTTATCGATCAGTAGTGTGAACTAGGCAACTTCATGGGATTGTGCATATGTGCATATCTGTAGGTCGATGTTTTTCAGTTTATCTCTGTTATATCTATCAAGTTAACGAGAACATATATGTGTGTCTGTTTGTATTTACATATGTATGTAAATGTGTGAATATGTACTCCTGTACATTTCTTTGTATGCATGAATGAATGTATGTATGCATGCATGTATGTGTATGTGTGTGTATGTTTGCATGTGGAAGTGTAGGTGACTCTCTTGCCTTCACTCGTGTGTATTATCACTAGTCTTGAGTGCATCACCTTGAACCGTTTTAAATTCACTTAGTTGTGACCCCCCGGTAATTACGAGTTTGGCTATACAAGAGTCTGAAGCAGAACCGGGAAGGATTTCAGATTGTCGACAGACTTGAGGCAGGCCGTTAACGGGAAGGGAGAGGATGTATAAGTGGTCTCCCGCTCGGTCGTTCGACACACACACACACACACACACACACAGAGAGAGAGAGAGAGAGAGAGAGAGAGAGAGAGAGAGAGAGAGAGA